CCGCCCGCCGGAGGCGCACCTGGGACCCGGGCCCTCGCTGCCACCGCGCAGCCCTCGCTGCCACCGCGCTGCGCGAACCCGCGCCCGGCCGCACCCGCGCTGTAGGGGTTCGAGCGGTATCGGGGGCGGAGGCCCGGTCCGCACCCTGCCCATCCCCGCTTGCACGCGGCGGTACCCTTACCCAGCGGCCCCCATCCTATTGCGCCCCGAGCCCTGCAGCACCCCGAATCTGGACAGGTGCTGGGAGGAGGCGAGCTTCTGCGTGCAGGTCCAGCTCGGTTGGGGCCGCGGCCCAGCTGGGGACGCTGGCTGTTTTGCCGTGTAGAAGGGGGTAAGGCCAACCTTGGGGCCTTGGGAGCCGAGGCAAGAGGTCAAGGCTGAAAACCAGGTTCTCATGTCGCCCGGCCACGTTTCTAACTTGAGCTGGAGGCAAATCTGCTCCCCTCTGGTCCTCAGTTTCCACAGTTGTGAAGTGGTATAATGGGCACTATTCTTTGAGGGTCGATGAGGAGGAGTTGAAAGGTTGGTGGCAAAGCCCATGCCCGGCAGGGCCTCAGACCCCTCTCCCTCAGCCACACTTGTGTGGCAATCCTGAAAATCCTTCTCTGCAAGATTCTGGGCTCTGGGGTTGGGGGCTGTACCCCAAGCCAGCAAACCTTCACCAGGAGAGGGGTGGAGGAACAGCTGGGCAGCAGCAGTGTGGAGGACAAAGGGAGCCCTTGGCTGGGATGGGCAGAGCAACTGTCCTGGCTGGAGAACACCCGCTGTTCTGCTGCTCCAGCACTTCAGGTAAAGAAACCCAGGCAGGAGGGAGGAAGAGACTACTCCTGTCCTGCCTGCGCTTGGTTATCTGGGGTCAGAAAAGGAGCTAGGGACAGTGGGGCCAGAAACTCTGGTTCCTGGTGGTCTTTGGAGAATGCCTGGGGTTTTTATGGGAGGAACTGTTGCCTTAGTCCTGCCTGTGCCCACAGAATCCACTCAGATAACCCCACACAGCTCACCACAGCGCCAGGAGCAAATTCTATAAGCCCCTTTGCCGTGCAAGTTCTAGCACATCACTAGCTCCTTGGAGCTTGTTTCTCTATTTGTAAAATGGAAGAGCCAGCCCTGCAGGTGGGGACCCTGAGATTCCACGGACAATCTTGGTCACCCGGGAGGACAGCCATCCAGAGAGAAGGTAGTGCAGGCTCCCTACCCAGGCCCATGAGAAAGGACGGCAGGCATGTGTCAGATCTGGAGATGAGGGCCCTTCTGCCTCGCAACAACTGCCACAGAGGAGCCCTCAGGAAGAGACACCCAGAATGGCACCCCCGCTGCTGCCGCAGAGTGAGAGGATATGGGGCCTCTCCAGGGTAGGGTCCACCTGGGGTCCCAGCAGCACAGACACAAGTCTGACCTGGGGGCCCGGGTTGGTGGGGGCTGGGCTCTGAGCCATTTTCCCCCTCCTCCAGGGCTCTGTGTCCAAGATTGGGGGCCCATGGCTCCATGGTACCCCCCTACCCCACGTAGGGACTCAGTTGATCTCTCACTTGCCCAAGGCCATAAACATAGACCCTGGCCCAGCCACCAACTCTGCCTGACAGATAGACACTGAGGACTCGCACATACATGCAGACTTGGACATCTCTAGAGACGGCACATAGAGGGCAGAGCGACCCCAAGTCCCAGAGAGGGACCCACAAACATGCACAGCCCACCAGGTTCCAGCCAACACCCTGGGTGAACACCCGGGCACCACTAGAAAACAGGACACACTCAGACTGAGCCCTCAGGGTCTGTCGCCATAGGCCTAGCTCCTCCCATCACCAGCCCCGGAAAGAAGAAGGGATACCATGCTGGGACAGCAGGTCTGGGGAGACCCCTGGTCACTTCCTTGCCCAGAGTGGTGGGCACTGGTCACTCCACGGGGCAGGCAGTGGCCAGTACCAGCCAGAGGGAGGCAGTGGGCTGGAGGCTAGGCATTAGAGGCCTGGGCCCAGGCCTTCACTTACAGAGCGGAAGGAGAGCTCTCACACCGGATGAGGGTGCACGGCGGGCACGGGCTGGGGTGGGGAGGCTCCGGCCGCCCAGGTGGGGCAATGGTGGCCGTGGGCGCGCAGGAACTCCTTCCCACCACAGTGGGCGGCGGGCGGACAGCAAACTGGCCCTGTCCGTCCGTCCTCCGCCTCCTCCCTGCCAGGGGGGGTTACCGGAGGCCCAATTGGTCTCTGCCCCCACGTGACTCCACAGGCCTCACTCCTCCTTTGTTGGTGTTTCTCTTCATTTATGTCTATTTTTTTCTCTTCTCCTAAAAGGAAAAAAAAAAAAAAAAAAGAACTACTCCTGTCTATCTGGGGGCCGTGGGTGGGGGCAGAGGCCAAGGCACTCTGGAGGCCTTGGCCAGCGGGCTGCTTGGGCTGCTGTGGAACCCAGATGCAGGGACCCCACGGAGGCGAGTAGCAGCCCGCTTGTTAGTGACTGGGTGGGAGTGGGACCTGATTTATGGGGCTGCTCCCCAACCCAGCCTGCAGCCCTCCCTCTCCCCCCTTGAATGGCTTCCTCCCTGGGACCTGGCCTGATGTGGTCCAGCTCAGCCCAGACATGGGAGTAGAATCAGGGCAGGCAGTGTGGAGGCAGAGGCCGGATAACCTGGCCAGGTGGGCTGACAAGGTGGGCCAGGTGGACAGGCGGCTTTGGCCTGCTCTTTTACTCCTCCTGAAGGCAAAGATAGGAAGAAGGGCAGAGGTGAGCAGATGAGCTGATGACTACCTCATGCACACAGTCACATGAGCTTCTCTGAATGTCAGCTTTGATGGCATGTGGGGAAACTGAGGCTAGGCTGAGCATGCGTGTGGAGCCAGGTGGTCAGATACAGTCTGCACTGTGTTTGTCCAGTCACCTGGCCCTGGCTTGGACTGCTGGGTCCCGTATCTGTTCCATGTGTGACATGCTTTCCTTTGCGTTCCTTTCTCATCTCCTACAGGCTGCCAGGTGTTCCAGGTGCCAGGTACTGTTCAGGGAATCCCAGCACAGGGGGGCACACAGTGAAAGACAGGGAGGAAGCCTCTCCTCAGAGGACTCATCTGCCAGCCTTTTGTCCTGAGGCAGGGAGGGGCATGGGGACACCAAAGGGCAGACACACCTGAGAACCCCCTGCTGCCCTCAGCCACTCCTCCACTCGAGGAAAATGGGCAAATCATGCAAAGTGCTTCACTTGGGATAAGAAGGGTTTTGAAAATCAAACTAGCTATATTTAAAACGTAGTATATCCTTCCTCATTATGCTATTAATTTTTAAAATAATAAATATATAGGGGCCGGGGAGATG